TACTATGTTGAATCAAAGTGGTGAGAGTGGGCATCCATGCTTTTCTCCTGATCTTAGAAAAAAAGCTTTTAGTCTTTCATCATTGAGTATGAAGTTTGATATAAACTTTTCTTGCCCCCCCCTTTATTTTTTGAGATGTATTCTCGCTCTGTCACCCAGGCTGGAGTGCAGTGATGTGATCTCGGCTCACTGCAACCTCCACCTCCTGGGTTCAAGTGATTCTCCTGCCTCAGCCTCCCGAGTAGCTGGGACTACAGGTATGTGCCACCATGCCCAGCTAATTTTTGTATTTTCAGTAGAGACACGGTTTTGCCATGTTGGCCAGGCTGGTCTCAAACTCTTGACCTCAGGTGATCCACCTATCTCAGCCTCCCAAAGTGCGGGGATTACAGGTGTGAGCTTTTCATAGATGGTCTCTGATATTCCAGGAAGTTGGAACATGGGCTTTTATTATCTTGAGGTAGGTTCCTTCTGTTCCTAGTTCATTGAGTGTTTCTATCATGAAAAGGTATCAAATCTTGTTAACTCATTTTTCTGCATCAGTTGAAACAATCATGTGGTTTTTATACTTCATTCTATTAATGTGGCATATTATATTGATTGATTTTTATATGTTGTATCTTAGTAATAAATCCCACTTGGTCATGTTGTATAATCCTTGTAACATACTGTTGAATTTGGTTTGCTAGTATCATGCTAATCTTCTCTGTATTGTTCCAATTTTAGCATATGCACTGCCAAAGGGACACTCTTGCAATTTTACTTTTTAAATATAGTATAAGGTAAAAATACATTGAATTTAGGCTACCGAATGAGTTAACAACCAATAATTCTTTTCTACACTTGAAACACACAAAAATTAAGACACCCATGTGCTAGTTCTTCTGTTTATTGTTTTCCTTGAGGAATTGGGCATTACTTCCTGTATAATATACTCCAACCTTAATGTTTGCAAATGACTGCCTCTTTGGAAGAGGCTGTGAAACAATTTGACCTGGAGAGAGTATCTGTATTTGCAGGTTCTATAACATTATATGAAACTTGTTTGTAAATAAACTTAAATTGTTTAAAATAAATAACAATCTAAATAATATGTACTAGGAATTCAGTTCTTTTCCAACATACGCAATAATTCAAACTTTAAGGTATGTAAAATACAATCCTTCTTGCAGAGGAATGTGCAGAATATGCGGAGTAACAAAGATTCTCTCCTTGACCAAACTCTAGCCAGGCTCCAAGCCACTTCTGGACTAGGCCTCAACAGACTTGAAAAAAACTCTTAACACAGTCTCTAACAGTTCAAGGTAGCATCTTTAGGATGACTCCAGCCTCTCTTTAAAGGGCCTGCCAGAAAAAACTCAGGCTGCCAAAGGAATTTACGTTCCAGCCAACACCTGAAGATATGGTCCCTGTTTCGAAGCCTCTGTGGGAGGGTAAGAGCCTAACTTCCAGCAATACCATTTAACAAACCCAGATGGGTTTCACGTGGACTAACCCCCACCTGCCACTTTGTAATTTTTCACTTCCCTCAGTCTTCCTAGCACCCCCTCATCCCTCTCCCCTCTCCCTATTCCCTCATTTTTCCTTTAAAGTCTGAGTAACCTTTATACAAATCCAAGTTGAATTCAGTTCGTGCTGGATTCTTCCCTATTCCATTAGTATATTACTGGTTAGAACCTGTCCTCGCAGCTTTACTGTCCTGCTTTGCCTTTGACAAGAGCAGGCGAGGTGGATTCATTTTTCTTACTGAGCAGAGATCCTAACGGCAGGTACTCCGGACGGTGAGGGCTATGATTCTTTAGAGAAAAGCCTAGGGGACAATACCATTTGAAACTAACACCAGCTAAAAGGATTTTCTGCTCTGCGTCACAACTCATGGAACTTGCGGATTCTGATCTAGAGTTGGGAAATGTTAACAGGTGTTTAAAACAGCAAGGATGTTCCGTCAACTCCTTGGAAGAATTCCACCAGTCAGAGCCCAAACCAGGGGGCAAAGAGGAAGAGAAACTCGAAGCAGGGTGTGACCAGGGTAGAAAGGCTGAAAAAGGAAACAAAATGTAACATTCTAACAGAAAGCAGGGACCGAATAAAGACTAAAGACAAGACTCACCCTCGCCGGCAGCTCAGACCGCGTCTACATGTGCGCCCAGAGCGGCGCCTTGTTGCCTAGCGACGGCGCGTGCGTACTGAGCAACGCAGGCCTGTAAACTTGCATCTGCGCCTGCGCAGCCGCGGGTTGCCGGGTAGAGATGTACCTGGGGCTGCTGTGGGGCCGTTGTTGGCAGCCTGTCTTGATACTCTGCAGTCACCCGGTGGGCAGTGCTTGGACACAGAAAGAAAAGTTGAATTCGCAGCTGAGAGCCCTCGCCTCCGAATTTTTTTTTTTCTTTTTTCTGAGACGGAGTCTCGCTCTGTCGCCCGAGCTGAAGTGCAATGGCGCGATTCCGGCTCACTGCAACCTCCGCCTCCCGGGTTCAAGTGATTCTCCTGCATCCGCCTCCCGAGTAGCTGGGATTACAGGCGCGCACCACCACACCCGGCTAAATTGTATTTTTAGTAGAGACGGGGGTTTCACCATGTTGGTCAGGGTGGTCTCGAACTCCTGACCTCGTGATCCGCCCACCTTGGCCTCCCAAAGTGCCGGGATTACAGGCCTGAGCCATCACACCTGGCCTTCTCCGATTGTTATATGTATTATTTGTGTTATCTGAAGACATTCTGATGCCACCACCCAAAGCAACTGGCAGTTCACTTTTGAGAATTTTAAGCTTGTGTGAGAAGTACCTGCCACTCAGGAATTCCTTTTTTTTTTTTTTTTTTTTTTTTTTTTTTTTTTTTTTTTTGACGGAGTTTCGCTTTTGTTACCCAGGCTGGAGTGCAATGGCGCGATCTCGGCTCACAGCAACCTCGGCCTCCTGGGTTCATTACAGGCACGCGCCACCATGCCCAGCTAATTTTTTGTATTTTTAGTAGAGACGAGGTTTCACCCTTTTGACCAGAATGGTCTCGATCTCTTGACTTTGTGATCCACCCGCCTCAGCCTCCCAAAGTGCTGGGATTACAGGCATGAGCCACTGCGCCCGACCGGGAATTCCTTTTTTATCTAGAGACACCCATGACGTAGGGGACACCCCAGCAATGCCATCCCTCCTTTGACTTTCATTGTTTGCAGAATTACAGAGTAGTAGTTGACTTGAAAAAAAGGAAAAGTATACACACACACATGCTTACATAGGCACAGGATATATGACCAGCAACTGATAACTGATTCCCTCAGGGGAGAAGAAACTGGGTGGCTGAAGGACAGGAATGACAAAGGACTGTTGTGTTAGTTTGTATTGTTTGAAACTGTCCAGTGTGCATGTGTTCTTTTTAAATGTTTGAAGGGCCGTTGACTCTCTTTATCAAAATATAAATACCAAGGAAACTTGGGAATTTAAGAGGTCTAAGAAGAATTCTATAATGTGCTGGATAGATTCATCTGTACGTGTGAAGCTAAAATGGCTTTTGTAAATCGCTGAGTCTTCCTGTTTATTTCTGGATAGAGATCTCCGGGGGCTTGGGTGGAGGAACAGGAAAAGAGGAGCCAGGCTTTTTTGGAAAATGGTCGGCGGTGGTGACACACAGGAAACTGAAATCTTTAATTTCATTCTTTGTATATTCATTCTGGATTTGCTGAAGAAAATTAAAAGGCAAATTTTGCTGTGAGCTCACTGCACTCCAATTGAAAGGGGACATTGGCTGTTTATTTTTGTGAAGGACATTAATTGGGTGTGACTGACAGGGTTGAGACCTGAAGTTCCTCTTCTAGATAAGGAAAATTTCCCTTGGTGAGAAATCTCCAGACTGGTTATGATAGATTCCTAACCACCCAACCTTCAAAGGTTAACTTCGGGCTCCCTCCTCTAAGGGAAGTGCTGAAGAAAAATTCAACAGGCAACTGTGCCTATGAAGATTTGCAAACAAAAAGCTCATGCTGAAAGAACATATGGGACACTTCTCATTCGCTGGGTCAAGCCAGAGCAGTCAACCTTGTGACCTAGTGAGTGGTTAGCGGATCTAGGCAAGGGGTGGGAACTTGGGACCAGAGGTTAGGGATGAAACAAGTTGAAAATGTAAAGACAAAGGCCACAGGTTATAACTTGCTGCCTCTTGATTTGTAAGTAGGAGGCCAGAAGTTAAGCTCCCAAATAAAATGTTTTAGGAATTGTGATTCTTAAGTAACTCCAAAAGTCAGTACATTTACAAAGAAGTAAATGAAACCTCACAGGTTATGGAAATGGGACTGAGCAGTGCCTAGAATTAGAAATTCCCATACGAAAGAGAAAAAAACACATCACAGCAGAGCCATACTTTGTAAAATTTATTTTTTAAAAAAAGCAGAAAAGCAATAATTTATGCCCTTGGCAAAATAAAAGATCTTGTCAATATAAATGTTTCTTAGAAAATATATGAAAAGATAATATATATTAATAAATCAATATTAACATCATAGCAAAAATATTAATGATTCTATAACAATGACAAGTGAAGATATTTCTGGCCCTTACACAGTAGTATTTCTTGAAGGTCTCTAATTCTTGCTTGCTCTAGTACAGATGTGCTGTCACTGTAAGAAAGCCTGATACCTGATCTTTAAGAAAGATGTGGTTGTTCACACCTGTAATCCCAGCACTTTGGGAAGCTGAGGCAGGGTAGGGACAGGGGAGAGGGGGAAGACTGCCTGAGGTCAGGAGTTTGAGACCAGCCTGGCTAACATGGTCTCTACTAAAAAATACAAAAATTAGCCGGGTGTGGTGACACACACCTGTAATCCCAGCTACTCAGGAGGCTGAGGCAGGAGAATCACTTGAACCCAGGAGGTGAAGGTTGCAGTGAGCCGAGATCACACCACGGCACCCTGGTTGACAGAGCAAGACTCCGTCTCCAAAAAAAAAAAAAAAAAGAAAGAAAGAAAGCCTGATGCACACAAATCTAAATTTAGGAAGTCAATCAATTGATCAATTAAAGGATATTTATTTGCATCACAAAATAATTCTTTACTCCCCCCAAAAATCAAAAGTTCAAATAGCAACTTTTCCTAATGTATTTAAAATGTAATTAACCAAATACATGTGTCTCCAACTCCTTTCTAGTTAGGATCCTAACTAGAAGCAGTAAGAGAGTTGAGCTCCAGACCTGCCTGGACAGAGTGTGTTCTTTTTTAGAGTCTGAGGAAATCGTTGAGGGCACAAGTTCTCTCAATCTTTTATTTTTCCCTCATCCTGAGCTCTCATTTTCTTGTCTCACCTGCTTTCTGGTAAACTTTGTTCGCCTGGTACTTTCAAGAAAAACGGAGGAAATCTTAAGAGAGGGACACAGATGAATGAATTAGTGAGTCACTCAATAATTAGTGAGTAGCGCAGAGCAAGGGAGAATCTGGGATGCGTATGTGGATGAGGAAGATCTGAGTGTGGTTGTGGTTGTACTTGGGGGAAAAGCAGGAGCAATCTTGAACTCTTGACATGGTGCACTTGAGGCCCCTCTCCCAGTAGGACTACCTAAGTCCCTGAGGAGCTGCAAGGCCTAGTCCAGCTCCCCCACCCCCGATGGGACACTTCCTCAGAATAATGGATGCAAGCCTATTTATCACACTCCTCCTGGCTGCCTTCAGCACAGTGGTAGTGCTGCTCACAGAACTCCTGGATCCGGCTACATGCCTCCAGCATTATCACCTCGGGGACTGTGATGACCACTCGGATGAAATTCGGGTACCCGAAGCACTGCAAAAAAGAAGACCCTGTTATTTTCAGAGCAATTGAGTCTGGTACTGGACCACCCTAAAATGGTCAGGACCCTGATCTACGAGAAGTAGTACCATTTCATCAGCGCCGTCAGTTCATTCAGTTCCTGTCACTAGGATGCTAAGTCAGCAACTGAATTCGTTCATCTTAAAATGACTCTACTTCCTCTGACCTAGAATGTTTGTTTACAGCTTTTCTTCCCAGAATGGATGGGATTATTAAGGGGGGGCAGAAACAAATTTTAAATAGGAACCATGAGACACATCAGTTTGAATCTTATCAAATGAGAAGACATTTTGGTGGAGGAGAAAAGATCACACTAAAAACCAACTCAGAGGTTGCTGCTAGAGCTCTAGAAACTACTGAGAATGTCCTGAGAGACACAGGCACCCACCGTTGCTGGGAGGCAGTGGACAGATTGCTCAGCAACTAACCGCTCCGTGAACTCCACGTCATTCTCAAATTCCGGGAAATGTTCCATCTCAATTCCAACCTATACCAACAGGAGGGAGAGGCCAGCTTATCAGAAGGAGGGAGAACCAGCCAACTTCCTATGCCAGAAATTAAGGTAGGGGCTACTTTTAAAGATATCTTGGAACTGTACTACTGATAACCGATAAATAAGAGTGCTTACACTTAAGGAATTTTTCTCAGGGAAGAGAGGATATATTTTTATTAATCGTTTATTAAAAGACTTCCTTCCCGGACACTGATAAATAAAAGCTGGAAACAGAATGCTACTATGTCTCAAAAGAGACAGTATTGGCATTAGGGCCAGGCAATCCTTTATGGCATGAGACTAGCCCACCCACTGCAGGATATTTGACATCCCTTACCCACAGAATGACAGCCCCAGTCATTCTAAAAACAAACAAAATTCCCATACATTCCCAGATATTCCTAGGGAACCAGTATCACTCCCAGTTGAGAATTACAGTGGTATGAAAAGCCTCTTATTTGTGTCTTAAATCTTCCCTGTACCTACATAGATAAAATGATTCTCTGTACTGAAGAATTAAATTTTCTTTTTTCTTTTCAGATGGGGTCTCACTCTGTCTCCCAGGCTGGAATGCAGTGGCGCAATCATGGCTCACTACAGCCCTTGACCTCCCAGGCTCAAGTGATTCTTCCGTCTCCACCTCCCAAGTAGCTGGGACTATAGGAGCAAGCCACCATGCTGGCTAACTTTTTTATTTCTTGTGGAGACAATATGTTGCTCAGGCTGGACTCTAACTCCTTCGCTCTAGTGATCCATTCACCTTGGCCTCCCAAAGTGCTGGGACTGCAGGCATGAGCCACCATGCTCTGCATAATTATTTTAAAGAGCTTTATGAGAACTGATAGAGGCGAAATTACCTCAGTGGGACAATCCAGAATAAGACAACTCCTGAACTGCCTGGCTCAAGCGCCTAGCTGGCCATCTTTGTGCCCTGCGTAACTGCCTGTGGCCATTCTGCTGAGTGACTGCCCATTGCCTTACAACATGCACAGACCTAGTGCCTGCCACCCGCGTACTCACCATGAGGTACATGGCCCCAGAAGGGCGGACTGGCCGGAGTCCAGGGATGGCAGCCAGTGCCCCATAACAGAGATCAGCATTGGACTATAAGAGGAGGCAAGAAGAAATCAAAGATTGAAATTTAAGTAAAAGAAAAACCAAGTCATTAAAAATAGACCCCTCATTGAAGACTGAGAATGTAAGTGTGATGGCATGAGGAGTCTAAGAGAAAAAGCTCTCTCACTTGAAGCTTTTGGCCAGGGACAGAGAGAATGGCCAGAAGTGAGAAATGTGTGGGCGGATGCTTATACTGATGCCATATCCTAATATTAGAACATGGCTCCAGAAAGAAGAACCAATTATTCCTAATTCCACGGGCGGCATTCTCTGACTCCCAAACTCCCAAAGTGGAGAGCAGGAGCTGGCCTTACCTTGAGGAAGCTCAGAGTATTCTGGTAAAACTCTTGCGGGGTACACCGTAGGATGCTTTTTAGAGCTCCCTGGACAATGGTACAGGGTCCCAAGATGCGCTGACTCAGCTTCACCAGCCCATCTCGGATCTAAAAGACCCCCACAAGAAACATGTTGTTTAGCTTTTCTTAAGCATCCCTGTCTTCAGGTTTCTTGTTCTGACCTTTCTATCAGATTTTTATTCTTGGGAAGTGATGGTGCCTAGTGGCATTCTTAGATCAGACCCTCTGTGGTAGCCCAGCTCTCCCACATACCTGCTGTGTGACTGACCAGGAGAAAGAGGAGAAAAAAAAAAGCCTACCTTGTCCCCACTGTGCTCACAAAGTAAATATATACCCTGAATTAGACATACTCTTTCATATTGTTCTCACCTCATTGCCAAAAATGTCTCTTCGGTCATGAATGAGGATCCAGCCCAGCCTCCAGCCAGGAACCAGCCAGCGCTTGGCCAGCCCTCCACAGGACAGGATGGGGACATCGGTGCTGAGGGTGGCCATTGGTTCATATTTGCAATCCGAAAACACCTGAGAAGAAGCACTTGTTATGGTTGCCTTCTCTACCTCTCACTGCAATCCCAGATCCCATGCCTCACACCCTTTTCCTTCTATCACTAGGGACAGGGCCTGGGATTAATGGGATCATCTCTACCCTGAAGCATAATTGGGATTGCAAGAGGCTTTGAAGGGGACTACACAAACACATTTAATTTGGTGTCTGTACTGGAATAAGGAAGCCTAAAATGAGGAAACTAGGAAACTGACCCTAGCCCCGTAATGATATGTACAACTCCATGAAGCTGGCTCTATGAAATTTGTGTCTATAGGACTTACAGATTTAAAAGGAAAAATGAGTCCACAATCCCTTATCTGAAATTCCTGGCACCAAGTATGTTTCATAATGAAGAATGGTTTGGGCTTTAGAAAGGCCATGTAGCACATTTACCATATGTTATGTAATATTCCTAATCAAGAATACTAGGATTTCTGCCACTTCCCCCATACTCCTAACAGATATATAGATCCATAAGCGAGATAAATAAAAATCTACAAATATCAAGTCAAATCAGGTTTTGCAACAACATGAATTCTAAGAATCTTTGCATTTCCTAAGTTCTTTGGGTTTTGGAAAACCAGCTAAGGAGTTGTGGGTTTGTATGTTTGTTAAAAGTGCAGGGATACTGATTTGCTGTACTGAAATGATTAGGAGTTGCTTCTGATTATTCCACTTCTCAAGTTCCCATAAAATAATTTGAGTTTGAGATTATTGTACTGATATATCCTGATCAAGACTCACCATGTCTCCATAGATCTCATCAGCTAAGATGGGGACACACTGCCTTGCAGCCACTGAAAATAAAAGAAACATCCAAAATCAGTTTCACTGTGAATTGCTTTATCACAGAACAGTCACATCCTATCATGTAATTTCCCTATCCCATAATATTAAGAATTTACAGTTCTTAAAGAAGAAGACAGAAAGCACAAACAAAGTGTGCTTTGCATTTCATGTTTGTGTGTTTTGCCCTATTTAAGAACTCTTTTTTTTTGGGGGGGGGGGGATGGAGTTTCACTCTTGTTGCCCAGGCGGGAGTGCAATGGCACACTCGCAACCTCCGCTTCCCAGGTTCAAGCGATTCTACTTCCTCAGCCTCTTGAATAGCTGGGATTACAGGCATGTGCCACCACACCCTGCTAATTTTTTGTATTTTTAGTAGAGACGGGGTTTTTCTCTGTTGGTCAGGCTGGTCTCGAACTCCCGAGCTCAGGTGATCTGCATGCCTCGGCCTCCTAAAGTGCTGGGATTATAGGCATGAGCCACCATGCCCAGCCAAGAACTGTAAATTCTTAGTATATTCTTCCAGAGTGCAGAGCCTGAATTCGCCATTTAAGTAACTAGATATTTCAGAGCCTCTGTTCAACATGATGGGAGTGATGAAGAGGCAAGTATTATTTCTTTTTTCTCCTGGGAGTGATTAAGAGGGAAATATTTCTACTCTTCTTCTAGGCAAGTCCTACCACTCCTATGGCACAGTATTGATGAGAGACATCGGTGGAGTTCCCCACCTCCACCCCAGGCTTAGAACTTAGGGAATTACTATTTTTTTGTCATTCCACACAACAGCTGAAGGATTCTGTCCCCATCTCATCCTCTGTGAAGTCTACTGGATGTACCTGCCAGAATCTTCTGAAGATGGCGTTTGCTGAACACTGACCCACATGGGTTTGATGGATTATTGACAATGAGACAAGCTGTCTTTTCATCAATCAGAGATTCCAGTTGTTTCAGGTCAATTTCCCAAGACTTCTCTGGCTGGAGAGAAAGAAAAGATGAAACTAAGATGTTGAAACATTTAGGGGGAATCCTCACTTATCTGAAGGGAGCAATATAAGCAATAAAGTGTGTCTCTGGGTTCAACCACCCTTTTGAGACCTTCCTCTGCTGAAGTAATAGTTACATATTTTTTACAGGTTAGTAACTGAGCATTTGAGTCCAAAATTGAAAAGTCATTTACCAACAAATTGTAGAATTTGACCTCAATTCCCATAGATCCAGCCAGAGTCCTGTAGAGAGGGAAACCAGGTCTCGGAACCAGGATGTTCTGCCCTGGGTTGGCCAACACAGCTAAACAAAGTTCAATGGCTTGACTACAGCCACTTGTCAGAATGACATCCTGTGAAGGAAATAAAAGGTTAATTTCATTAGGGGTTCCAACATCAACAGGAGAAAAGAAGTTGTCAGATGTGTGAGTTGGGAACAATTGTGAACTTCCTTTAACAAGTTGTAAGTGGAAGGAAATGTACTAAGCCAAAACCAAAAGAAATTCATATATGTTAATAACTATTATGGAAATGTTGGCCACTTAAACAAATCACTTTAAAAATGACAGGTTGGCTGTGATTCAGCAGACTTCCATGAAAGAGCATGATGGCCTTGGACTTTTTTAACCTGATTATTTAACTACTTTTGGCCAGAGATTTGAAGCCTGGCTCTTCTCTGACATCCACACAGCATTTTCTAACGGACACATATTATGTTAGAAAAGGCTGACCCCACACAGTAGATAACAGAGGGAAGGACATCATTTAAACTTGGCACTGCCATCAATTCAGTATGTCCTGGTGCTTCTGTCTTTCTCTCTAAATGACCTTACAGTAAATGAGAAAAGCTACAAATAATAATTTTTTAAAAAACCTATTGATAAAATTTTTAAAAATTCTTTTTTGGTGTTTACGAGTTGTTTTCGTATGATCTTTTGCAGACAACCAAATATACATACTCTCTGGGTCCTTTTGGCCTCCTTGAGACAGATACCACATTAAGTTGTATGAGATGGTCATTATCACACTGTAATGACATTAGACTATAATCACTGATTCGTGACCCCAACTATATGAGAGGTCTTCAAATTGCTAAAGAAAAATTATTTTAGCTTTCTCCCCTCTGACACCTGTACTTCTTGTGAAACAGGAATAAGGAAAAGGGGATAGTCTGCCCTAAATTGCTTTAGAGCTGGTACCTTGTATAAGGCTCACCTTAGCTTCTATGGGTGCCTCAGAACAGTGGTAATAAGACGCAATCTCCTCCCGACTGGATAGGTAGCCTGAAAGAAAAGAGTGGAAAGTGGAGGGTTTTTTTATTTTTATTTTTAGAGATGGTGTCTCATTCTGCCACGCAAGCTTGAAGTGCAGTGGCACAGTGATAGCTCATTGCAGCCTCAAACTCCTGGGCTCAAGGGATCCTTCCACCTCACCTTCCTAAGTAGCTGAGACGATAGTTATGCACCCTTATACCAAGATAATTTTTTTATTTTTATTTTTACTTATTTTATTTATTATTATTATTATTATTATTATTATTTTTGTAGAGATGGAATCTCCGTCTGTTGCCCAGGTGGATTTCAAACTCCTGGGCTCAGGGGATCCTCCCTCCTCAGCCTCCTGAAAGTGCTGAGATTACAGGGGTGAGCCACTGTGCCTGGCCCGAAGGTGGAGTTTTTATTCCTCAACTGACAGCTGTGCCCTGGAGGGCCAGCGTGGGCTTCAGGCTGCCTCTGTCCCTGCTCAGGGGGCATTCTATATAGTTCAGCTCTCAGCCACTATGGATAAAGGAGATTCACTTCACAATTTTATGTACTACAATTTTAGTATAAGCACAAAAATATATAAACACTAACAAGAAAGAGCTCCCCAAATAATCTGCACCATCTTGATTTCTGCAATTATGTTTTATTCTGTGTAAAATAAGGATTTCTATTATTCCTAAATCTACTTTAAGGACTGTATTTTTTAAGAAGTTGTAATCAATGCATTCAATTCATCTGGTCCATTTTAAGTTTTTTTATGTTATGTAATATTGCTATCAGTATTTTTGTACAAATTTTTATTTCATATTATTTTTGTCCAATATTTCCAAATGTTAGCTTATAAGCTTGAAATATCAGCAGTTTCATGCCCGTTACAATATTTTACAAAATGTATGTTCAAAAAGACAAGTTAGCAAGGCTAGAGGCGCTATTTCATAATGTTTACTAACTTATAGGTATAGCTAGGTCTCTCAGAATTATATAAATCAGGACTTCCTTAATTATTAATGAGGAGGAACACTTTTCTAAACACATTTACCACCTGTATCTCCTTTGGAATGAAATGTTCAGAACCTTTGAACATTTGTCAAACGGAGACTTGATTTTGGTTTTTCAGGTTAAATCAGTTTCCCAGTACTTTGGATATTAAAGTCATTATAAACTTTTTTTGTAACTTAAATTTTGGTCTTGATTTTGTTTTGATTTTTGTTGTATGAAACTTTATAAAATGTAAGTCATCAACCTTAAAAACCACAAAGTCCCCGACAGAACTCTTTAAAGTGTATTTTAAATTTGATTTTATCATGAAACTGGGGTTTTATTCTGCATTTAGAATTGTTTCTATGTACACATAAGGGAAAAAAAATGTGCAACACTGAAAGTCAAAGAGTCATGTACTTTACCAAAATATTCAGGGTAGAAATTTTTAATAGAGAGAATTAAACCTAAAAGGAAGTAATTTCTATCTATCAGAAACAACTTTCTATCCTTCAATTTGACAGCCCATTTTGTCTTGTTCTTGGGTGTTTGTTTAACCTCCTGAGTCTTAAACAGTAACAATTGCATTTCAATGTGCTCAGGACCATCATGAAAATAGGCCTTCAATACATAGAGAAGAAGAAATGAAGCAAAGGAGCTATGTACACAGGATAATAAGTAAAACCATTTAGCCCCTAGAAGCCCTAATAAACACAAGGCTCCTGCCAGACTCAAGACCTTCATCTTAGAATTAGTAATGATAGGTGGTGACCTTTATTTGACAAATAAGTATGTTTGGGAGCCTAGAGGGAAAGTGCCCATATGCCAAAGGAAGCCAGGAAAGAAGATGGACCTTGATGCCTTGTATTTAAGCATCCCGAGACCAAATTCAAAGGGCCATGTAATCTTAGCTTCTCCTTAGAAATTATACATCAGGAAAGTGAAGAGAATTGATAGACATTTGGTCCCGTTATAACAGCACTAAACACTGGGCAGCCACCAGGTACAGAGTCTCCGGAGGAGCTTACCAATGGATGGGGCATAGCCATTATATTTGCCCGAGTCCAGGGCATCTTTCATTGCCTGGGTAACTTCCAGGTCTGTAGGCAGGTTTCCAAACACAGTAGGGTCACCTTTTTATGGAATGAAAAAACAAAAGGAACCAAGAGATTACTCTCCCATATTCAGTCCTCAGACTCACCCCCCACCTCCCATCTTCTCCAACCAGCCTGTGAATATGAGAGTAGAGGGGACTATGACATTCCCTCAGTAGTGCCCCCAACTCACCAATGGACAGAGAAATCATGGTTTTGTTTGGATTTGGTTTTATCTTCATGTTGTCCACAATGGCTCGGATGGGGTTGAAAGTTTTGTTGGCCATGTCTGAGGGCCTCACGGACCACCTGGCCTTCCTGCCTTTCATTTTTCCCAGCACAGAGTTTCTCCCACCAACGTTGACATGCACGTCCAGAATTGAGGGGAGGTTGCCTTTGCTGTTCATCTGAATCATGTATGGGTCCATCACTAGTGAAGCCTGGGAGGGGGAAGAAGAAGGTCCCTGTGATGTTGGAAACATAGCACTGGCAGAGAGAGGAACTACATTTGCACCTAAACATCAGGGTTACTTCACTGAAAGTGTCTTTCCAAACTCTCTCTCTTTTCCCTACTTTCTCTTGTAAAGTAGCTTTACTATGAAAGAGGGGAGTTTTTTTTTTTTTTAACTTAAAAACTTAAGAGAGTTTTTAAGACTTTTTACTAAGATGGAAAATAAAGCAAGAACTCATTCTACAGTATTAGTAGAAAGCATTCAGTTGAATACTTAAGTAGGATTTGCTACACACATCTGTAATTCCTATCGAAGCTTACGTTATGCTTTGTGTGAAACCAAGAAGGAATAATATGAAAATTGTTAATCATCAAAGCATAGGTACTCCCTCATTTCCATGTGAGCCTATCCAACAAAATCTACTTAACGCTTTGACAATCTGCGCTTTGTCATCTGCAGTGGAACAGGAAGAACTACTACTCCACCTTATTAGAAGTTCCATGTAAGTATCATTGTTAGTAAAAGTAAAACCTATCCCATAAGCATCTTATGGCCCTGGTTGGAGCAAGAAATCCATAAACCAAAAAGAAAAAAGTAAACAGCCCAATCAATCACCACCACCTGATCACCTTGGGCTTGAAATGTTTACCTTCCAAGTAAAGGAGAAGCAGCCTCCAAGAAGCCTCCTAAAGCTCCCTTAGCTCTTCTTTGGCAGGGTTCAGTGGCAATGAACTCAGATGCAAATCCAGACTCCTGAAATAGTCTCCACAAATGGGCGTTGAGCCTGAAACATTCATGCCATTGGTTGGGAATGAGAGCTCAGCAGCCAGCCCTCCCCTCGACATGGTGAAACCCTGTCTGTACAAAAAAAAAAAAAAAAAAAAAAAATACAAAAACCAGGCAGGCATGGTGGCCTGCACCTGTAGTCTCAGCTAATTGGGAATCTGAGGAAGGAAGATCACCTGAGCCCAGGAGGTAGAGGCTGCAGAGAGCTGTGATCATGCCATTGCACTCCAGCCTAGGTAACCTAATGAGACCTTGCCTCAAAAAAAAAAAAAAATTGTGGGGGTGAAGTCACTATGTGGTTTGCATTCTGTCTATTGGACAGAGCTGTACTATAGCTTGCTTTTTTAAAAAATCTCAATAATGTGTTGTGTAGGCCAGGTGTTGTGGCTCATGCCTGTAACCCCAGCATTTTGGGGGCCAGGGTGGGCAGATCACCTGAGGTCAGGAGTTCAAGACCAATCTGGCCAACATGGCAAAACCCCATCTCTACCAAAAATACAAAAATTAGCCGGATGCAGTGGTGTGCACCTGTAATTTCAGCTACTCAGAAGGCTGAGTCAGGAGAATCACTTGAACCCAGAAGGTGGAGGTTGTGGTGACCCGAGATCACGCCATTGCACTCCAGCCTGGGTAACAGAGTGAGACTCTGTCTCAAAAAGTAAAAAAAAAAAAAATTAAAAAATATGTTGTGTGAACAGTTTTTCCATTTTCATAGAGATCAACTTCATTCTTTTTAATGGCTGCATGGTGTTTATTCTTTTGTCAGACATGGAGCAGCTCCCTATTTTTTTTCCTATCATGAATAAAGCATATCAAATGTCCTTGTACATTTATGACTGATAGAAAACTTTTATGAGTATCCTGTTATTTGAGGGATACTTTCCTAGAAGTGGAATCACATTCCAGATACTGATAGACCTGCCAAATAGATCAATGATGGATTATACAAAGACAAAAGCAATGTAAATATGTCTAAATATGTCTAATTTGAACAACCTCTTGGAGTTCAGACTACTTGTCACAACAATATACCATGCTTGAGAGATGACCCAGGGACCCCACTGTTACTGTAGTTACAGTTCTCCAAGTGGACAGAGATTCAGAGGTGTTAAAGAAAAAAAAATATTCAATAACGCTTGTTAAAGCATGGTAAGGCAGGCTTTATTCAGGACTATTCCAATAGCTAGATGGCCCACTGCAATGAAATTTCCAGTGGGGATGAGGGATTGGGTTCAGCTCCAAAGATGGTGAGGGTAAGTGTGGATTTACAGCCAAGGATGGAAAAAGTTAAGAGTAAACCTCAGGAGTAAGGGGGATTCTGCTCAACTGACCTAAAATGTCTGTGTCAGTGTCTTCCTCCTGAAGACAGATCATGGTGATCAAACATTCTCTGGGGGACAGCAAGAATGCGGAACCCAGTCAGATATGCAGGGTGGGGAATCTTGCCAAAATGACTCAGGGTTCTTTGCCAAAACTGGATCTCGCAAGGAAGTGCAGATGTGCCTAGAAGAAGACCCAGGAGCCTGATAAAAGTCTAGTCATTCAGAGAATCTTTGTCAGAGGTTGAGACCATTGGTCTTTAAAAGAGTTAGATCAAGCAACGATGAGATTTTTCTCAATGTGAGAAGGCTACTATGACTGATTTTTGTCACTCAAGGTTCAGATTTTCTTTACTCTTTTTTTTTTTTTTTTTTTTTTTTTGAGACGGAGTCTCACTCTGTCACCCAGGCTGGAGTACAATGGCGCGATCTCGACTCACTGCAACCTCCATCTGCCAGGTTCAAGTGATTCTCCTGCCTCTGCTTCTCAGGTAGCTGGGATTACCAGTATGCACCACCATGCCTGGCCAATTTTTGTATTTTTAGTAGAGATGGGGTTTCACCATGTTCACCACCAGGCTGGCTTTGAACTCCTGAACTCAGGTGATCTGCCCACCTCAGCCTCCCAAAATGCTGGGATTACAGCCATGAGCCACTGCACCTGGCCTCAAGGTTCAGATTTTTAAGGAGATTCAGATCCAACTCCCCCTCCTACATTCACACAGCCTATAAGATTGTTGTCCTGTCTGGATATTAAACCAGGAGACTTAGATTATTCTCTTACAGGTTGTGCCCCCTGGGGTCTTCCCTTTTTAATCTTTGGAGCTCAGGCATTTTGTAATATTTTATCCTGTATGGCTAAAATATTTAGATATTTTTGTAACTGAAGATTTTCTAGGTTATCCTGTCCTCAATATAGCCAGAAAAGGAAATCTGTGTTCTTCCTCCTAAATTAAAATGTCACTTTGTCCTTGTACTAAATTCCTGTATCTTCCTGAATCTGTTTCTGGCATACTCTATTCCAGAATATTCTATTCCAGAATGACCATTCTTACAGTTCTTTATACACACAGCCATGGTGCTTTAAGAAAGGCCATTCACCTTTCTATCAGTAATTGTTTGCAAACCCTGGGAATTATTTTCTAAAGAAATCTTTGCCAAATTGATTGATGGAGGAAAAATGGTATCCAAGTGCTACTGTTATCTCTGTTAACTGTGTCCCCTCTATATTAGCAAGGGTGGTCATGTTTCATGTTTTTTCACTCTTCCCATTTTGTGAATTGTCTGTTCATGTCTCTCACCTTTCTATCTACAGGGGACTCATCTTTTTCTTAGCTAAGACTTTGGCCTAGGAAGCCAGCGCAAAGCAACAAGACAGCTGTTCTGAGATCACTGGCCCAGTTTCCTCTGTGTCAACCTGACCGGCTGAGACTCGGGTTTATAGATCAAAGAACAGCAAGCAGCACAGAATTTTGGCAGGTTGTCCTGCAAATAGTGCCACTGACGCAGAATCTACAGGGTCGAGGGGTGTGTGAAGGGGACAAGGGCTACTGTACCAGAAGATCATCACCATGGACACACCCTCGACTCCACTTTGGCAGCTGACAACCAAACCTAAACCAGAAGGAAAAACATGCAAAGCACACATACTTTGGTCATGCCTCCTTCTGTAGCAAATGTTCCCACAATAGAAAGCAGACAGGGGGAACATGAGAGGACCCAAGTCTACTTAGGATGCTTTCCTGATGCCAGATAAACTTCACAGAGCAGTCAGGACCCAGTAAACGGTAGAAACACTCACTTTTTTTTTTTTTTCCTGAGATGGAGTTTCTTCTTGCCCAGTCTGGAGTGCAATGGCACAATCTTGGCTCCCTGCAAGCTGCACCTCTTGGGTTCAAGCAATTCTCCTGTCTTAGCCTCCCGAGTAGCTGAGATGACAGGCACCCGCCACCACACCTGGCTACGTTTTTGTATTTTTAGTAGAGACGGGGTTTCACCATGTTGGCCAGGCTGGTCTCAAACTCCTGACCTCAGGTGATCCATCCGCCTCAGCCTCCCACAGTGTTGGGATTACAGGCGTGAACCATTACTTCTGGCCTTTTTTTCTTAAGTATAAAACTGTTGTTTGCCATTTTGTATTTAATTTTTTTTAATTGTGGTTAAAAAAAACACTTAACATTAAATTTACCATCCTAACTTTTTTTCAAGAGGCAGGGCCTGGCTCTGCTGCCCAGGCAGGAGTGCAGTGGTGTGATAATAGCTCACTGCAGCCTCAGACTCCTGGGCTCAAGTAATCCTCATACCCCAGCCTTGAGAGCAGCTAGGACTACAGACAAACACCACCACACCCTGGAATTTTTATTTTATGGTAGAGACGGGATCTCACTATGTTGTCCAGGCTGGTCTTGAACTCTTGGCCTCAAGTGATCCTCCCACATCAGCCTCCCAAAGTACTGGGATTACAGGCGTAAGCCAGCATGTCCAGCCAACTTAAACATTTTTAAATGTACAGTTTAGTTAAGTACATTAGCATTGCTATACAACAGATCTCCAGAACTCTTTCATCTTGTAAAACTGAAACTCTACACCCATTAAGCACAAATTCCCCCTTCAACCTCCCCTTAGCCCTTAACAACCACCTTTCCACTTTCTGATAGAAAATTTGTGAAATAGGCCGGGCGCAGTGGCTCAAGCCTGTAATCCCAGCACTTTGGGAGGCCGAGGTGGGTGGATCACGAGGTCAAAAGATCGAGACCATCCTGGCCAACATGGTGAAACCCCGTCTCTACTAAAAATTTAAAAAAATAAAATAAAGTAGCTGGGCATGGTGGCGCGTGCCTGTAATCCCAGCTACTCAGGAGGCTGAGGCAGGAGAATTGCCTGAACCCAGGAGGCGGAGGTTGCGGTGAGCCGAGATCGCGCCATTGCACTCCAGCCTGGGTAACAACAGCGAAACTCCGTCTCAAAAAAAAAAAAAGAAAATTTGTGAAATAACACCATCGCCTACAGAGATAACCACTGTTAAGCATTTTGCCCACAACTTAGGTCTTGAAATTTCTACTTTTTTCTAGATACACAGAGTTTTTGTATGCCATGGTTTTCATTTACAATATATTGTGCACATTTTTCTAACCCTATAAAAATTTTTGTACACTTGTTTTTCAATAGTCGCCTGAAACCCCAGGGCCCTCATTTTTGCAAACCTGTTTCCCACACCATTTCTTTTCTCTACCCATACCGACTGGCAATCTATCTCACACCAAGCACTGTCTGGCACCCTGGACCTGAATCAAGTCATGTAATCTTCACATCAGTTCTAGAAGTAGAGCCTGTTTCGTCCCCACTTTACAAATGAAAACTAAGTCACACCGGTTGTTGGTGGTGAGTTGAAGTTGAAGCTTCATCATCAGGCTCTGGATCTCACTACACAAGGCTGCCTCTCTGTCGAGGACAAAGTAAGTTGAGAAGCGTAGTCTTGTCTTTTCTAAGAAACATAAAAAGAGAAAACGTGAAAACAGAGCCAACTAGGGAAAACCTTAAGAAAAGAGTGAATTAACCATGTGGATTAATCATGGACTACTCTCCGACCTTTTATTGCTCATCTTTATGAATTATTTTGTGTCTCTGCACCTGAATCATCATCAGTTATCACTCATC